TAGGTCCGTTGATCGACGATTCGTGATTGGGTCAGATCGAGGTTCTAGACCCGTCGATTGATGATTCGTGGTCGAGTCAAATTGAGGTTCTAGGCTCGTCGATCGACGATTCGTGGTCGAGTCGGATTGAGGTTCTAGGCCTGTTGATCGATGATTCGTGGTCGGGTCGGATCAAGGTTCTAGGCCCGTCGATCGATTCGTGGTTGGGTCGAATCGAGGTACTAGGCCTGTCGACCGACGATTCGTGGTTGGGTCGTTGTACTCCTCGACTCAATCTTACACTCAATTGTGTGATTTTGTCTTTCTTGGTTGGAGTAATAATGTCGTGGGGGCCACCTAAATTTGACTAGGTGACGTGGCTTTACCATATCCACAAAGGGCAATATAGGCATTACAATTTTTTTTAATTAATTAATTAATTTATTTATTTTTTTATGTTAGCAAAAAGTATGTTTGACCAGCGTTAGACTTTTAAAGTGGGGAAAACTGATGTGTGTCAGAAAAAGTACGGGTGTGAATGAAGATTTGCAAATGTGAAAGGGTCTCCTTGAAGTATTGACAAAACACACGGGTCTAAATGAAGTTTACCTTATTTAATTATATATTCAAGTAAAACAACTTACTTATAATTTAGTTAATTGACGCTTTGTTCCAAATCATATCTTTTGAGATTGGTTTAGGTAGAAAGATTTTTTTAATGGAAAGTGAAAGTGAGATTGAAGGGAAGGAAAAGAAAATCAACTTTTCATCATGCATTTGGTTAGTAAGAAATTTTTTCAAAAAAATTGTGGGAAAATATTATTTTGTGAGTTTGGAAAGTATAAAAGTGAAAAGAAATTGATTTTAGCTATCAAAATTGCCCTTTTAATTATAAATTACTTTGTACTCGACTTGTCTCCTGAATTATGAACAAAAGTAAAATTTAAAGTGTAAGAATGAAACAATGAACATTATAGTATTTGTCTTTTTTATGTTTAATAATTGGATATATGTGATTATAGGTGCAAGTTTAATTAATAAAAAATTTTGTTACGGAAAATCTTAAGGATAAAAGGTTGAAGTTATTATATATATATATATATATTTAGTCATAGAAAATGAAAAAAAAAAGAAAAAAAAAAAAAAAAAAAAAAGCAAAAGAAAAAAGAAATTCAGCCTTAAACCAAATAAAGTTATTTGAACTAAATTATTTTGGTACATCTAAATTCTAATATACCTAGAGTTAAAAGTTAAAACTAAAATAGTCTAGAGTCCTAAAGTCGCCAGAAGTCCATGTGTAAAAAAGTACATGTATGAATTAAATTGTAATTTCAAAATTTGTATACGTAGAGAAGAAATCAAACGAACACTAATGCAATGTTTAGTTCGAGGGAGTGATTCAGGAGGGATGAATGAGATGGTGGATAAAACAACATTTTCAAGTTTGGTTCGAGTCTCAGCGAAGACATTAGTGCAAGTGTGATACCCCTCGGATCCGAGATACGGATTGATCAGGCTAGGCCCAAACCCGAGGGAATATTAAACAATTAATATTTTAAAACGAACACGGAATACAAACTGAAGTAAGAAATAAATGATTAACAGCTGGAAGAAACTAAAATAAAATCCTTTAAAGTAAATACTTAAATCCCAATAATCCAAAACTTCCGATAGATTAAACAACTCGGGAATCCACCTCTAGTGGACCCCTAATAATAATCCAAATTGTAATAAAAATAACTGAAAGAACATCCCGAAATAAGCTATGGAGAGAAGTCCTACGTCATCGGTGGAATGGAAGTTTGTATCCGCTCTGCACGATCAAACTCTAACCCTGGAACTGACGTGTACCTGAAAAACTAGAAGTGGTTCAGGCCCACGCGCAAGTTCTAACCTACTACAATCCAAGCAGAAACTCGATACGCATTTACATCATATATAATTTAACAATAACTAATAGTCTGTAAGTATATATATAATCACACTAAAGGACTCTCACTGGACTAGAGGCCGGTCTTAACCTGAATAGAGGTAACATGCTAAAACGCACACGAAGTGGGCATGTGTACCTAAGTCTAAACAGGGTACACCTCCAACCATCGTAACCAGCTATGCATCCCAATGCATATACGCTCCCTAACCGTCGATCCTGAGACTCAAGCTTATATCGAGGTACCGTAACAATATATATAAAATCCATCCAAATTCCTTAGTAGTGCCGCTCAACTAGTCGTTGCCATGACACTACAAATTTAATAGGACTTAACTTTTAGTTAATCCATTCCTAAATCCAGAGTAGGTAGGTTTGGTATTTTGAAACCAAACCATCCCTAGTATGCCACCGTCCCATACCGGTGCATACTATCCAATCATCCAGCAGTTGATAATACCGACAATTAAAGTAAATATCAACTAAATCCATATCTCCATCACTGATACTAACAGGCATAGTGTAAACATCAATGAGCACAGTCAACTATATACATAAACATGTTCAATTTTATATCCATCACTGATATTAACAGTCATAATGTAAGCATCAATTAAGTACAATCAAACTATATACCTAAACATGCTCAGCTTTATATCCATCACTGATACTAACAGTCATAATGTAAGCATCAAGAAACATAGTCACAGTATATACATAAACCTGCTCAGTTTAGGTTGTTCCACAAAATCCGGTATAGTGCTAAGTTTAAATCTTCATAACCTTCAACACCAACACATCCTAAACAAGTATAATTCAGATACATGATCATGATATATGGTGAAACATGTTTTAATTATTTTATCTGTCTCGGAAGATTACAAATCAAAGAGAATCAAACCAATTTAATTCTTCCAACTCCAACCACAGTGTGTTAATTTGTTTAAAACGTATACTGTTCAAGTGACAACCATAATTAGATTATTAACATGCCTCCTAAAGTCTTAGAATTGTCTCTAAGTATCATCCATACACCTCATACACAGCACTAAACCCAATTGAAACCACAGAGAACCAACCACTGTAACCAAAACTGACTGGAAACGGAAAAAAAAAATTAAAATTCATCAAGGAGACGTCTCCCAAAGTGTGGAGCCGTCTCCTTTGGGTCTTGAAGCCGGCTCCCACACTTGGGAGCCGACTCTCTCCAAGGGAGAGCCGGCTCTCTCTTTCTTTGCCTCGTCTCCTCTTCTTCCGATGACTTCTGTAGCCTTTACACCTCACTGCTATGGATTCCAGACCCTATAACCAAACCCTAGTGTGTTCCCAGTCCGTGTTTAAGTTCATATTATATTACATACATAGCTTTAAACAGAGAATTATGCAAGCAAACATCACGTTTCAACAGGTTTTCAAGCATACAACACATACTGATATGATTTAGTTTAACCACGAACAGAGAAAGTTTTTAATTGATTCAATTAATTCTGGAATTATTTAGGAATTCAAAGAACACGAAGCCTAAGGGAGAGAGTAAAGATAGAACTTACCTTTCACTGACGTTTTCTTAAAGTCCTCTGGCGAACTCTCTGTTTCCTCTTTGCCTCCACAGAATAACTTACGTTTTGTTTTGTTTTGTTTTAAACCCTAATCCACCGTAACATGCATATTTATAGCCTTAGACATTAAACCCTAATCCATGTATAACTCTAGGTTAAAAACTATGTCGGCCAAATACGTGACTTGTAAAAACTGATAGAAACCTAATTTAATAAATACAACAATTAACTTAATCCAATTAAAACAATTAGAGTAAAACAATTAAATAAATAAATTCAATTAAATCAATTAAAGTAAAACAATTAAATAATCCAATGCAATTAAATCAATTCAATTAACACATATGCACTTCAACAATTAAAAATGCAATTTAATCAATAAATTAAATACCAAGACTATAATCAATAAATTGAATACCAGGACTATTCTTTTGAAATTAGGGGTATTACCGCAAGTATCAACCAAAAAAAAAAAATTACAAAAGAAAGAAACTCATCCATTAGCGGAAAAGTAAAATTTCACTATATTTTATGCGAAAAAATTACTTTCTGAAAATTTTCTCTTTCACGCGAACCAAATTATTAACAAATTTAAATATTTTATGTTTCTTTTCCTTTCTATTTAATTTACGCTAACCAAACAAACTCTTGGAATTTAAAATAAGAATGGAAAAAAAATTGGATTCTAATTAAAATGGAATTTCATTTAATTATTTGGAATAAACTGGAATTCACATAAAAGAATTTGAAGAAAATTAAATTTTGTACCATTTGTAACCTTGTAGATGTGTATATCTAATAATATATATATACATCAACTGGCCAATTGACGAAACCTATAAGAAGAAAAAAGGATCGACAACAGGCCAATCTCATTCTCTGATTGTGTTATCTCAAGGTTTGTTGCTGATAATTAGAGCCTTTCAAACTCTGAGGTCAGTGTCAGACCCAGTAGTAACTAGTAAGCAGTTGTGTTCTGCCCTTTCTTCTCCATGCATTTACATAGGAATAGCCTTTACTTTATTAGGGGGAAGTTTGATATGAGTAGGAAACGACGTAATTATGTCATTAATTATAATAACAAGATTAGAACAGGCAAATGCATTCAACTTTTCCACTACTTGTCTTTTTCTAATAGGAATAGCCTTTTGATCGGCTTTTTCGGAAGTAGTGAAGGGATTGCCCTTTTTGAAACCGAAACAATGTCTTAAAGCTTCTGCTACTTTAGTTGAAATGTAACTAAGGTCCTTTCTTATTACTATTAAGCTAATTATGAATACCCTCTCTTCTATTAGAAGTAATTTAATTCTTGGATCATTTTGTGTCCTTAATTTTAAAGCAAATGATATAAATATCAATTGGTTTTTGTACCCGCCATTTGAATGTTTCACTTTTGTGTCATTGCTCTTTTGTTAATATGTAACACAAAACTCAGCATTGCTGGTTTGGTTCATGCTATTGCTATGATGGTGGAGGGCTGGGTTTGGGTTTTGGATGAGGGTGGTTGAAATGGAGAGTTGTGCGGTTGTCGTGTGGCGGGTGGATTGCTACTCATGATAGTGCATAGCGGGAAAGGAGATTGGTGAAAAATTTAAAAATAGTGAGGATAATTTGGACCAAAAGAGTATTTTTATTTTTTTTACAATTACTTTAATTTATTAGCTTTTTCACTCCTACGCATATGGTCGTATATTATACCACCAAAATAAGTAAATAACAATCTATTTTTAATGTGCACGAGCACAGCTACAACATATTCTGTTATGTTTTGTTTTTTTTTTTTTTTTTTTTCAATAATTCTTCAAAATATAAGAAATAAAATAGCCAATCTCCTCCTTCAAATGACAATATTTGCTGGCTGTAAAATATTTTAAAGCTTATAAATATTTTTATTTTTTAGCGATTGCTTGTAGTAAAATATTTAGAAAAAATAATAATGTGTCTAAAAGAAAAGGAAAAAAAAAAAAGAATAAATAAAAAAAAAGATAGATATAGATGGGTACTTCAAAGGATTCAAAAGGCTATCAATATCGTTTGAGACCTAGCTAAAGCGCACGTGACTGACGACGTCGACACCCATTAGACAATCCCCTTTGTGATCGAGAGAGAGGATTCAAGGCAAGAAAACCCTAATTTCCGAGAAGAAACCACCGTTAGCGGCGGCAATGGTAAGATCATTGTTTTTGGTTGCGTGTTTTTATAATGGCGAACATTGTGGTGCAATTTATGAAATCGAAATTGGTGACGGAGGAGCTAAATTCATCGATCCTCCGCGTAAATTGTTTACTTGCTTTGAAGAAAGATGTCAGTCAGTGGTTGATTGTGATATGATAGGATCGGAGATATGCTTGATGGCTTCGTATAGACCATTGGGTATGCACAAATTTATCCCGTTCGAACCCCTTGTTTTCAATACAGATGCCAAAGAGCTCATGGAGTTGCCAATGCGAAAAGCAAAAAAACCTTATCCGAGAGTGATGGCAGTGCTTGGAAGAGGGTTTTATGTGCTTGCTTCAGATACCAGGTGTTCCGGCATCCTCACAAAATCCCCTTCGTTTGAACGTTTGGATCATCTTAAAGGCGATTGGGATTCTTCTGCTATCCTACCTGAGTACCGTGCGGAGGAAATTGAAAGCATGTATGTCTCGGGTGGAGCAGTCATCGGTGACAACATTCTCATTTCAGTTGTAAGTTTATTTTCTAGTAGCCCAACTGAATTCCATTGTTACAAAGTCGGGAGTTCCATGGAGAATTGGGAGGTCGTTGAAAAGGAAGAAAAGGGTGTGCCATATTACTACTTCGATGGAAGGGCTGCATGTGTTGATGATTCGGTATACACTTTGGTGTTTTCTGTTGGTTGCATATAGTGTCAGATATTCTGGCGATGGTATCATTCAATCTCTCAGTGCTCCACGGATAATTACCCGACCGCCAGAGTCTCCAATATTTCCAGAAGACTTATGCACCTCATGTCTTGTTCATTTGGGAAATAGAGAATTTTGTGTGGCGAGGACTGAGTTCAATGTATGGTCTCGTAGTAAAGTTCAATATGTTACCATCATCACCCTGAAAATTTCCGAGAGCATGGAACCGGTCATCTTGAGTTCAGATGACTGCGCCTTGAATACGGATGGCTTAGGTTATGCACAATTAACATCCCTTTGTTTTAACTCCCAGTAAGTATTTGCATTCTTTGTGTTGCCTTTTGTTTTCCTTATTTTCATGGCTTGCTTGTCATATTATATCACTTATGGTATGGTGAGTTTTTTCTGTAAATGGGACAAATGATATGCATTCGAATTAAAGACACACTAAGTATTACCAGAAATGAAGCATATAATATTTTGACTCAAAGAGGTAAAGACACAAAGCTCTAATCTATAAATTATGGTTGTTTCACAATTAAGATCACTTTGTTTTGACCTCGAGTAAGTATTTGCATTCTTTGTGTTGTTTATCCTTTCATTGTTTTCATGGCTTGCTTGTTGAGCATATTCTATCATTTATGGTATGGTGAGTTTTTCAAACTTAACAAATGCATGACAGAGCGATTCTCCAATTAATTTATGTTTGAACAAATTGAGCGATTCTCCAATTAATTTATATTTGATACCATCTACAAAGATTGAGTTTCAATTTAAAAGGGTTGGAATTTTAAGTAAAAAACCTTATTATTAAATGCCGAATGCGTTCAAAGGGAAGAGTTCAATAGTTTTGTTGAAGTGTTAATATACCCTAACATTTTAGTAATCTCTACAACTCTATGTACATTTGCTCCTAGAGTTCTTTCTTGGCAACTTTTTCTCTCTCTGTGCCCAATGCCATCATATTTGAATCGATCATGTTTGTCTAGGTCAGATTTGAGATTGTTCAATACTAGCCAAAGAGGCATTTAGCAAAGTGGCTGTTAAAGGTCTCATTCTTAAAGAACTGCAAAGGTTCTGCTCCCAGTCAAGAATGTCTTTCAAGGTTTCCCATTTTTTAGCAAGGGATTTAGGCAAGCAATAATATCAAGTAGAGAAGATTTTTATTTATTTTTTTGATGAGTCAAGTAGAGAAGAATTTTGACTGGAACTTCAATACAAATGTCTCTAAACCATACCCCAAAACCAAAATACCATACATTTCGATAGGGTGAAGTGCAGAAAACACCCTTAATGTATACTCCATGTAGCACTTTCACCCCTTGTTGAAAAAGTGTGTTAATAACCCCCTTATTCATTTTACATAGTGCGGAAACACCCCTCAAATAGAAATCTGTCATAAAGTAATGCTTTAATGCATGTTTTACCCATTTACTCTTGTGAAAATGCCCAAGGCGATGTGTATGCTAATAATCTTATGGGCTAATTTCATTGACACCCTCTCAGGTTTGGACAAATATCACATTGAAACAGCTTTCGAAAATTTCTATCACTTAGGTCCAAAATAACTTTTCTGTCAATGACACCGTTAAAAATGTGCAAAAAGACAAATTTGTTTCTAATTTTTAAATAATTTTTATTCCAAAATATCAGCAATCTAAAATGGCTATTTTGCCCTCATTCATTCCTCTAACCTACCCATTCCCCTCTCTCTCATAATCACTCATTGGATGGAACAATAGCGCAAGACCTTCAACCAATTAGGTCCCATGGACTACTTGAATAGGAGGTTTAATTGGTATGGAAAATTACCCATGTTGGATAACTTCTGGACGAACGGCTTGGATGAGCTCAAGATAAATCATCGGATATAGATTGCAAAAATAGCTTAATTTTATTGGTAGTCTAACCATATTATCTAATCATATGCCAGAGGGCATGGATTCATGAGCTTTGATTAAGAAACCAACAAGATTACGTCCAAGTCTGTACACAGATTGGTATTGCACAAGCCAATATATATATGTATATATACACACACACCCCTTTGCATGTGTTCTAGACTTAGCATTTGTAACAGCCGGCGAAGCCTCCGGAAAACTCCCACGAGTTTTGGAATTCTGGGAACAGCGTATTTAGGTCGATCGAGCAACACTTGGATGAGTGCCACTGCTACGAGTTGGAATTCGGCCAATTACGCCATCAAATTAAACGACGATGAGAAGACAAAAGTGATGCCAAAGTCTCAGGTGGTGTCGAAACTAGCGGTCCAGTGTTGGGTCTTGCATTTTTGTTGTACGGTAGGAACGATTTGTTGGTGAAGAGACATGTGGAGCTTAAATGTTCACACACACACACACACACATAATTCATTACATAACATCAAATTAGTGTATAATCTTTACTGAAAAAGAAAAAGGAAAAAAAAAGGTAAAGTGTAGAAAATAGTATGCTTAGAGTGTGTATGACAACCCTCATTTCCTTTTTAATAGTAAAAATATCTCAAAAAATATATATATATGTATATATATATAACTTTGTCCTCACAGTTGTCAAATGTACAATATATCATATGGTGTGAAAACCTCAGTTCTTTCTATAATTATAAAAAAGAAAAAATTATTCTCAATTGAAATTTAATATAGTTATTATTTTTCACATATATATATATATATATATATATTTATTTATTTATTTATATAATTCCTAATATAGGAACAAATGGGTGTTCAATCACCCCACCTTCATCTGCCACCAAGAATACCGTAGCCCTGCCCTCTACTCCTTAAATTTTCACACACACACACATGTATAATTCATTACATATCAACAAATTGGTGTATAATCTTTACTGAAATAGAAAAAGAAAAAAAAAAAAAAAAGTAGGTAAAGTGTAGAAAACACTGTTATAGTAATGCTTAGAGTGCGTATGACGCACCTCATGTCCTTTTTTGTCATTTCACAAAATGAATTTTTTTTAAATAATGTGTAAATTGTATCCATATGGGTAATTTGGACAAAGTCTTTCCTAAATGTGTCAGGTGGGACTTATTTGCACAAATTCATACTTAAGGGGATGTTTTTTGTACACGAGGTGTGTGATACGCACTGTAAGCATACAATATGGGTGTTTTCTGCACTTTACCCCATTTCGATATGATTGCTAAACCATACCCAAAATCCAAGTACCATATGTTATACTGTGAATGCTATATTGCTATCATTGTTCTGCTGCATTCATTGACAACAATAACGCCAGTGACGGACCCAAAAATTTGTTTCAGTGGGGGCGACTTTAAATAATAATACGGTAAAAGAAATCAATTAAAATAATATTAAACTTAATTATAGATTGATAATATTTTTGTAAAATCCATTCACAATCGTCGTTAACTAGTTTTATGTTTTGAAATGTTAAAACTTTGGTAAATATACCACCAAGGATAGTAACTCAGTAATATCTCCTCTACCTCTCAGAGTGAAAAGTTCCAAGTTCAAGTCCCCACAAGGGCAAAATGTGTACGTGTGTTACTTTCAGGGGAAAAAAACCGACATACCAAATTTTTATTTCTCAATCTCTATGTGACAGTCCTAACTAATAGGATCAATGGCTAGGTCATAAGCAAATCAATTAATAAATACACTCTGATTTTTGAGGATATTGTTGATTTCATGGGCTCTTTGAGTTCATAGGTTCCGTTTTGTCTTTGTATAGTTTGGGACGCGTTCCCTTTTTGAACGCTTTTAATACAATTTACTTATTTTTTGTCTCAACTATAAAAATTAATTAGTACTTTTCTTACCATTCTAGGACTTGCACTTCTTTGAGGCAGAGTTGGATTGCCAATGAAAAGAATAGAAAGAAAATTATTATTTAGTTATTCAAGAGAGAGCCATGGATAGTCGAGATGGAGACCAGAGATAATGGAGTTCTTGGTTATTGCTTATGTGCCCGAGCGCTCGTGACAGAAGAAAAATAGCAATGGGCCAAAAGATAAAAGTTATGGGGCATTTATGAAATTACCCAAGATTTTATAGGTAAAAGTAGGATTTTTAAAACAAATCCAGTGGGGGTAAGTGCCTCACTGTACCTCGCAAAGGTCTGTCCCTGAACGACACAGTTGGCCCTGCACAAAATCCTTGCACAGTGATGTCTAAGTTGACTAAGTGGCAATGACAAATTGCAACTTTTAATGAAGATTGTGTTGATTCTTTTTATTTTTTATTTTCATTTTATATAAGTATAGATATCATAGAAAGGCGTTCAAGAACCGTGCCCATATACGAAAAGCCCTATATTCTCATTCTATCCACAAAAACCAATAAAACCTCCACTTATTTACAAAATCTCCCATGAATTTGAAAAAATAAGGTTCTAAATATGAAGAATTCTAAAGCCCGAACAAGAGTCTTCCCATGGAAGGATCTCCTATTCCTAAACCACCAAAGGCCCCACCACAAACAAAGAGTGGCCACCCTCTGTTCGTCTCGAGCTTGCTTCCTCACTATACAACCTCACCAATCTATGAGCAAATCTTTCGTGGCAAAATGCATGACTCAACAAACACCAAACATGAGAAGAAGCAAATGCTAACCCTCCCGAGCCACTAGACAATGGAAAAATAGATGGTTTATAGACTTCTCATCTCTCTTGCACATGCAACGACAATTAACAATGATTTATATTCTTCACCTTAGGTCTTTTGTCATCAAGATCCTCACTAAGCCTGCCTTCCACCCAAAGAAAGCCACCTTTAACGGGCTTTTGTGCACCAAATGGCCTTCCTAGGGAGAGGAAACTCCCGCACACCAACCAATCTCCTGTAGAAGGAGATCTCAAACCTACTGTGGGGTAGCTTCCCGGATCTGCTCATCCCCAAGGCTTTAAAACAAGAGTAAGTTTTGGTGATAAATAGTTTTAAATATTGGAAGCCTGAGTGTGATTATTGCTTGTATCAGAGGCAAGTTTTTGTTGCACATTTGACCCTCACAGTAGTGTATTGATATTTTTTGGTTGTTGCAGCAGCCAGCTTGACAAAAATTAGAAGTTTGAATAACTGGTTGAGAGGAATCTATATTTATATTATCTAGTATCAATGGAAATGTTTTGCATTCAGATTGTGTGTAATTGCAATGCAAAATAAGGAACAGGGAAAGTGACAATGTTATATATGTGTTTGTCTGTAAATATATTGCTGTTGAGGAGTATGAAGATGAAGTAAAAGAACAAGAATAAAGTTAAAGAAATTTTTATGAAGATATGCAACTGGAAACCCTTTAGCTGATGAATCCTTCTTATGCCGCGTTATTGCAATGATATTTTCATTCAAAGAAATTTAATTTTTTTTTATCAAATTTCCAATTATGATTTGTTTCAATGTGAATCGTTTTTCAGGCGGAGTCAATATGACTACAAGTCTGAATGCCGGACAAGTATGAATTGTTTGAGATACAGTTGCATTCATTTAAAGGCTGCAGTTTTACTTTTATTTGACTTATATATATGTGTGTGTGTGTGTGTGTCTAGTAATTATAAATAAAAATAATAATATATAATAGCTTTTGTACATAATATTTTGATTGAATGTCAATGGCTTGTATAGTTTGTCTTAGATATGTTTTACTTTGAGGCTTTAATGAAGGATTTTTAAGCAGAGAACTTAGAAGTGGAAAGGTTTTATTTCAGGTCTTAAGGACCATTCTGGGTGCTATATGGATCCCTGTATCTACACGCATTTGCAGCAAATGAACATTGATCCACCAAAGCTGGAGTTGGTACCTGTGGGCAGTCAACCTGCTAGAAAAAGAGTCAGCAACTCAGCCTCAGTTTCTGGGAAAAGAAATAAGGAAATTGCCCTAATCTAACTGTTCTCCAAATTTCAAAATATTACTTCTGTGGTTGCATTTATCACTGTGACAGAAGGAGGTTTTAATTTTGCTATGGTGTTTCATTATTTAGGATCAGTAATTCATATTGGGGGAGAAATTGGAGATCACCTTAATCATTAGAAATAAAGTGATAAATTAAATGGAGGAGTACATCTAGTATATTATGTAATAAGCATTTCCCTTTATGATTGAAAGGGGAGTTATATCGAACGGCTATTAGACCAGCCATACTCTATGGTACCGAATGTTGGGTAGTCAGGTAACAACATTTTGCATAAGGTGGGTGTGGCAGAAATGCGAATGTTGAGACATATGTGCGTGCAGTAAGAATAGAAATGACAGAATTAGAAATGATCACATTCAGGAGATGGTTGGAGTAGCACCAATTGGGGGATAAAATGAGAGAAAATTGGTTACGATGGTTTGGTGATGTGCAAAGTAAACCTTAAGTGCATTGTTTAGTAAAGGTGACATAGACCAAAGTTAACGGAGATATAGTTAGTAAAGAATAGCTGGTGGATTGACTGGAACTATGGCCTTAATTGGGAAAAGGCTTGGTTGTGGTGGTGGTGCTTGTTCTTTCTCTCTTCTGGGTAAGATCGACGTAAATATGACAGCGGAATTGGGACCTTCACCTTCCCGTTTTGGGAGGGGTAAGAAATGCCGCTCAAGTTTATGAATTTAGTAATTTTTATTTTCACTTTTGGTGTAATTTATTACTTAACAAGAAACTCACACCCATTTGCCCCTATGGGGACTTGAACCCTCACCTTCTACTTTGGGAGGTACAGGAGGTACTACTAGGTTTCAGTCCTTAGTACTTTTGGTGCAATGCATATTAAATATCTTTTTTTGACTCCCTTCTTTCAATCCGTTTGGAAATTATTCAAGAGTTGACTTGTTTTTTATAGTTATTATATGTTGATCATGTGGTTAGACGATCACTCTATTTCTTTAAAATAAAACTAATGTCTCACTGGAAATAGTTTAATTTATCACCAATTCTCCTAAAATCGCCTAAACTTATGTTGGTTATTCACCCTGGAGGGATATATTTATCCCTGGTGAAGCTGCAGATTCTGCTCCCAAATTATCTTAAACATCAGCTTAGCTGTAGACTTAAAAAAAAAAAAGAAAAAGAAAAAGAAATAATAGGGAATGGGGACCAAATACATAGTATAATGTGTTTTTTGGTACTCACAAGTGATACATATTTGGTGCAGGCTAAATCGGTGAAGGAATTCCTGAAGCCGCTGGGTCTTCGAGACTATTCATTTATATTCAAAGATGAGGACGTGTGTGAATTTTATAGCTTTCCTTTGTTAACAGCAATTTTATGTACTTGCTTTGGTTCTTACCCTCAGAAATTCCATCACTGGTTGATGTCTCCTGCTTTTTCTGCAGATTGATATGCCACATCTTGCAAACATGACTGATGAGGATCTCATCAGAAAAGGGTTACCGAAGGTAAACTCAACTAGATTCAGCCTACTCTATGTACAGTTTCTTAATTTACCATTACACCTTTAGAAACTTTATTCTTTGGCTTATTGAGGACTTTCAGAAATAGAATTTAGGGTAAAGTATCCTTAGTGGTTTTTCGAAATTTCCTTAAGATGAAACTAGTTGAAAAATTGTGGTCAACCTTCCTGGAGGTGTTACTAAATCACCCTAACCACCCTTCTTCCCGTCAATCAACTAGGTCTGTCAAAATTTTAAATTTTATGTTCCAAAAATACTTGTAGCATTAAATTAATAAGTCATGGAATGAAAATATGGAAAAGGGCTTTTGAATTAAATTAAGAAAGGAATATATTGTATCTGAAAACTAATTTGGGTATTATGCTAGAAATTTCCACAATGGAGGTGATTTACTTAGTAAGACAATGGTTAAACATTGTTGGACTAAAGGAAAAGACTTACATATGATTTTCATACATCTAGAAATAAAACAATGATATGGCACTGGGAGATATAATGATATAATTACACTGACATCCTTGAGGTAAATGTATATTAAATGTATGAAAAAACCTAATGAAACACCCTTACCAAAAGTTGGTGTCGGAAAGACATTAAATTTTCCTGTGAAATGTCATAATTTCCTATCATCTTTAATGTTTTTGTAACTAAAAAATCTCACTACTTATCTAGCAGTGCTTCCACCTTGCTTGTTATTTATTTTTGAATTCCCAGCTTCTCTCTCTATTTCTATCTTAAAGTGAACAACTTATAGTTAGTTAATTAAAGGGAAGAATGTTCAATATATGAATTACAGAGTTGTTGAGAGAAATGCATTCTTCGTGTCTCCTTTGATAAGTAGATTGTAAGGGGATCAATTTAGGTGCAATATAAAGAAGAATAATGCTTGCCTCAGGCCGCATAAGTAGGAAACTCTTCCTTGTGCTGACGTGGACCACTAACAACTTGACATGTGTCAAAAATAAATATGAATCAGTTTACGGGTTTTTTCTCACGTCCCAGATTTTATCTCACGGATCTGTGTGCTCTCTTTCTATCTCCAAGTCACGTAAAATTCCAGCGAACCACCACCGCCGCCAATCCCTCTGTTCTATGTTTCTCCATCTCGTCATCACCAAGTTTCCTATCCTATATCATTCTTCTCCTCTGTGCACCACCAAGCTCAACTCTAAGACACGTGCCAAAATCAGTACGCATAATTGAAACCGGATTAAAAAAAACCAAGGAAAACGGTAAACAGAAAAGACACCGCAACCACTCATTGATTACCTAATAATCACTGCCACTGACATCGATCGAGGTTAATGTGTCTTCAGCTAAGGGATCTGTTGTTCATGCCAAGTGTGGAAATCAATGGCAAAGCACCCAATAAACACCGCCGCCGGCATCGTCAGTATAACCAGCAGATTGTGCCAGCGGTGAGCTCTTCAATCGGATCATCGCTAAGGGTCAACACTTCGTGCGTGCTGCGGCCTATCTGTGTCGCCAGATGGTGATTGTTTCTCAAAGTTGGAGCGCCATTTGAGAAAGTTAGTGAGATGATGAATATAAGGGTTTCAGAAATTTTTTAATTTATTTTTATATGTAATAATCGATTAGAAAAGCATTCAAAAGTGGAACGCATCCCTAAGACGAAAACAAGAGCTGAACCTAAGGACCTACAGTGTCCAAAAGATCAACTAAGTTATCAGTAGAGGAACAAGCGCTTCCTTTCACATAACAAAAAATAGAGCGAAGAATATGAAGTTTTAAGGTCGCCAAGGGCGATTCCTTTCCTTTGAAAATTCTATTGTTCCTCTCTTTCCATATGCACCACCAAACAAAGTGTGGAACTATCCTCCAATAATCGCGAGCGTGGCTTCTCACTAGGCATCCTCTCCACGCGTTAATCAGTCCTTTGGAAGACTGAGGCATTACCCAATGTATACCAAATATATCAAATATGAGGTTCCAACAATCGTACGCCGTAGGACAGTGCATAAAAATGTGATCCACAGACTCCTCGTCTCGTTTGCATAGACAACACCAATTAACGATAGTGTTGCCGCTCTTCCTCAAGTTGTCCAACATCAAGATCTTTTTCCAGACGACAATCCAAACAAAGAATGCTACTGTAAGTGGAGCCTTGGAGCACCATATAGTCTTCCATGGGAAAGCAGGACCAACAAAGTTGGAAAGGCATAGGAACATGGACCGAACACCAAATCTTTCATGGGAGGAAGGAACCCACAAGATGTCATCACTACCTCTGCTAACTTTCTCCTGCAGATACAACATATCCAAAAAGGCACATACCTCATCCATCTCCCAATCCTGAAAAGAACACCTAAAGCGCACATCTCACGTAATCCCACTGCTATCAAGCCGATAACAGTCAGCTACGCAGGCATGTCTATCGTCGACTATACTATAAAGTTTAGGAAATGAACGAGACAACAACTGATCTCCACACCATAAATCCTCCCAAAAGCGACCACGCCTACCATCGCGAACCTTGAATCTGATATGGGAAGAGAAGACATCCCAACACATCCGAATGAATTGCCACACAACAAAAGGTAACATACGCAAACAACAAAAGGGAGATCTTCGTCTGATGAGCTACATTTCTGCCCACTCTGAAGCCCCTGATAAAACCCAAATCCTCCGCTCTCGTCATTAGTCTGCTCAAACCCTCCATATGATAAGGAAAAGGAAAGACGACAAGGGGTCTCCTTGTCTCAAACCTCGAGAACTCGCAAAGAAACCATCCCCAACTGGTCTCCTTCTTTGAGCCATAAAGCCCGAGATTTCTGGCACCATGAAATCTCCTCCATAATAACGATCTCAGCAAAAATCGCCTGACAGGAAGCTCTCATAGAACACAAAGAGACTCCAGATCCTGTCCCAATTCTTCAAGACGATCAATCTCGGCAAGGTCAACAATAACTCTATTCTTCCTCCATTCAATATTCCCAAACACCTCCTTGTTCCACCTCTTAAGCTTAGTTTTGAGGGTCTGAAGCTTCCTGGCTAATACAAAACTAAAGGAACCTATGGCCAACGCCTCTTCCCACCAAGATTGGATTTTCCCTTGGAAATCCTCTAATCTCAGCCACATATTCTCAAAGCAGAAACCCCCGCAATCTAGAACTAAGCAAACATAATCTGATGTCACTCTTACAAGAGCTACCTAAACAACATCCGGGAATTTTTCTTCCCACTTCCTAGAAGTCTAGAATCTGTCTAGCCTTGATAAAGTAATCGGGTCCCTGCCATTAGACCAAGTAAAGGCTGCTCCTTCCATTGGCAAATCAAAAAGTAAAGGCTGCCCCTCCCAAAAGGAAGGTCTTTCACTATCGATAATTGAGCCGTAGACCCCAGAAAATACCCATCTAAAACTGTCCTCCTCCATCTGGAACACGCAGGACAAATAGTAACTTCCCTTCCATATGTTCATCCTTGACAGCCATTTGCGATCCCACATAATTAGGATTTTGCTAGAGGTACCTGAAGCGTTCAACACTTCCCATTCCACGAACCTTCCTCCCCAAAGACTCTTAACCATCCTGTTAGAAATAGAGGCCATCTTGGTTTCTTGCAAACAAAAAACATAGGCACTCCATTTCCTCACAGCTACCTTGACCACCCTCCTTTTGTCCGGATCATTAAGATCACGAACATTCCAAGTGATAATTAGTAGCTTCATTAAGAACCATAAACAATCATCTCCCCTCCTGTCCTTTTCCCACTTCTGGTCCTTCCCCTTTCTCTCGCCACCCCATGCTTTCGTTCATAGTTGATATAGGAGATGAGATTCTTGACCTCCTGTTCCCCTTTCCAAGACGTTAAAGGTTTCCTACTTTTAACCCCTTTTGTGCCCTGCATATTCCCTGCAACCTCTCTCCCTTCTACTATTGCGTGAAGAATGGATAGGGCCTGATCATCTTTGCCCTCTGATTAGACACCCAGCGCTTCACTAGTAACACCAGTATTTACAGCTACCCAGTCCTTGCCCATATAGTATTCATCTCTGATTCATCAGGTCGCATCACAACCAATGGTTCCTCTTATTCCAACCATGGGACTAACTCATTAGAGCATACCCGTTGAATGGAAGTCAAGACTTCGTCCTCCTCTGCGCTTTCCTTTCCACCAACATACAAATCCGTCTGCGAATCTGTAGCCATGTCAGAATCACCCATGCTATGAGTCACCAAACTGTGTGAAGCACTCTCCCCTGACCCTCCGAGTGGCAAACAATTAAAGCCTTTAAGGGCTACACAGAGGCAGAGCTCTTTAAACAAAGCCGTTGCAGACTCCTCAGTAAGCCGAAGTTGAATATCACGACCCACACAAACCGTTACCCCATCGGGCGATTCCGTTACAGTACTAACATCTGGTTCATCATACCCAGAAATAGAAGACCCATAATCGCCCGACGCGTCCAAGCACATCCCCGACTCAATTTCCGGTACCGTTAACAAATTCGGCAACTCATATCCTTTTTCATCCCAACACCACTCCTCAACACCCCACAAGGGGTAGGAGGAGGAGGAGGAGCATAAGATGGGCTCCGATAGAGTGACAGAGAACATAACTGATTCGATAGGAGTGGTGGATTGAGCGATCCACTTCTGTTTTTCGTAGCTGGTCAATCGATTACCATGGCAGTGCAATTTGCCTTAATTGGTTTGATGTGCACTGTTGAAGCTTTAATTATCCGACGAATCAGGGGCAGAGATGAATGGCCCTGTTGTGTTTGTGTTACAACAACACAAATCGTGTCAAGAAGTAATGTTTTTCGTGCTTGAACCTCCCTTGCCTACGTTGATATGTTTCCATCTCGTCTTCTCCGTCAATGACCAATATTTGTGTACAAATGGATGAAGGACAGAAAAGTTACACTTTGATAAAGGATGGGCATGAACATGGGCCTAGCTTCCTTCACTGGACCTTGACTAAACATTTGGGCTGGGCTTGGTAAATAATAAGGATATGGACAGACGATTATTAAGAGGCCCAGCGACCCCGCTGGACCTTCCTCTTAATCCCTTGAAAGACACTAGGGCCAGACCAGGACATAGGCCCATGGTTAATAGGCCTATGCGACCCATGCTTCTACCCAGGCCCAATGTTGGTACTTTCATAACATCTAAATGTTAATCTGAGTGATCACGTGGTCTGCCACATGGTAAGGCTAACAGCGCGTTGAACCTCATGCGTCTCTGTCCTCTATCCTTGAGGATGAGAGGAAAGACAACGATGTGGTGTGGATCTACCAAATGAATAGATGGAGGCTTTCGAAATGATGGATGGTGATGATTCCTCCCTTTGTTCAAAATCAAAAGAGAAAGGGAGAGAGCAAAAGATGTATACTGTATATTCAACACAAGACCTAATAAGCCTGTGTAGGCTTATATATGTGTAGGCTTATATATGTTACAAGTCTTACATAATAACACAAAAGGCTTATCAACTAAATATAATTACATAACGACCCATTATATATATAAAACTTCTAACACTCCCCTTCAAGCTGGAGTATTTATATCAAATAATCCCAGCTTGGAACAGATAGTTCTTAACCGATTATGACCCAATGCTTTGGTAAACGTATCAGCTAATTGATCTTCAGACTTCACAAATGGAGTGGAGATGCTCCCACGTAATATTTTTTCTCGAATAAAGTGACAATCAACTTCAATATGTTTGGTGCTCTCATGAAACATAGGATTTGATGTAATGTGAACTGCTGCTTGATTATCACAGAACAATGAAGTAGGAGCTTCAACTGTCAACCCAAGTTCTTTTAGAAAATGTTGTATCCATGTCAACTCACTAGTGGTATGGGCCATTGCCCTATACTCAGCTTCAGCACTAGATCGAGCTACCACCATTTGCTTTTTACTTCGCTATGTAACTAGATTTCCTCCTACAAATGTGCAGTAGCCGGTAGTAGATCTCCTATCTGAAGGAGAACCGGCCCAGTCGGCATCTGTAAAACCTTCCACCTTGAGATGACCATTTGGTTTATATAGTAACCCAAAACCTGGAGCTTGCTTGAGATATCGGAGAATCCGAAGAACAACAATCCAGTGTGGCATTCTAGGGTTCCCATGAACTGACTTACAACACTAACAACATATGAAATATCAGGTCGAGCAATAATGAGATAAATAATGTCCCAACAAGGCGACGAAATCTACCCGGGTCATTAAATAGGTCACCCACATCAGCTACAAGTTTTGTATTTGAATCCATAGAAGTATCAATCGGACGACCACTTAACATACCTGTTTCTTCTAATAAGTCCAACACATACTTTCGTTGGGATAAACTTATACCTGTCTTGGATCTAGTAACTTCAATACCCAAGAAATACCTAAGTTTACCCAAGTCTTTAGTGTGGAATTGATATTGCAGAAACAACTTCAACTTAGCAATGCCTTCAGAATCATCACCTGTGATCACAATATCATCAACATACACCACAAGAATTATGAAACCAGCTTTAGTGCGCTGGTTAAATACCAAATGGTCAGTCTGACACCTCTGAAGACCAAACTTTAATGCCGCCTTAGAGAATTTTCCAAACCAAGCCCATGGAGATTGTTTCAATCCATATAGGGCCTTTTTAAGGCGACAAACAGTGTGAAGATACTCCCCCTGAGCAACAAACCCAGGTGGTTGCTTCATATAAACCTCTTCTGCTAAGTCACCATGCAAAAAGGCATTTTTAACGTCTAACTGAAATAGAGGCCAATGTTTATTAGCAGCAAGAGAAGTCAAAACACGAATAGAAGAAATCTTAGCAACAGGTGTAAACATCTCATCATAGTCAATACCATAAGTTTGGGTATAACCTTTGGCAACAAGACGTGCTTTTAAACGCTCAACGGACCCATTTGGAAGATACTTCACAGTATATACCCAGCGACAACCAACAGGTTTGACACCTGGAGGTAATGGAACAAGAGTCCACGTGTCATTCTTATGCAAAACATCCATTTCATCCTGCATTGCTTACCTCCAGCCCAAATCAGACAAAGCATCCTGCACAGTCTTAGGAACAAATGTAATAAACAACTTAAAGGAAAAACATAAGAATGATGGCGACAAGGAATTATAAGAAACATAATGAGCAATGGGATGTTTAGTAGCACACGAGCGAGGAGCTTTACGAAGTGCAATCGGCAAGGAATCAGACACAGTGGAATTTATCTGATCCAAAGACTCTGAAGATGATGGAGGAGGCACGACAACAGATGGCTTTAGTCTTCTTTTGTACACCTGTAACGGGGCAGTCGAAAGAGATCTGGGTTGAAGAGAAAGTGAGGGAAGAGGAACCACAGGATGAGGCGACTCAGGAGTGATATCAAGAAGTGAATCATTATCTGAAAAATATGGGATGGACTCACAAAAGGTTACATCCGCGCAAATAAAGTACCGTTGAGAAACAGGACTATAGCAGCGATAACCTTTATGAGACCGAGAGTAGCCAAGAAAGACACATTTTGTGGCACGTGGGTCTAGTTTATCAAAACCAGGACCAAGATTGTGGACATAACATACGCATCCAAAAACTCTAGGAGGAAGAGAAAATAAGGGAGAATCAGGAAATAAGATAGAATATGGAGATTTGCCATCGAATACAGATGACGGCATACGGTTAAAAAGATGACAGGCAGTAAGAACAGCATCACCCCAAAAACCGTTTAGGCATATGCATATGAAACAAAAGAGCACGGGTTAGTTCTAAGAGATGTCGATTCTTACGTTCTGCAACTCCATTTTGTTAAGGAGTATAAGCACATGAATTTTGATGAATAATTCC